GAAGGAAGGAAGGAAGGAAGGAAGGAAGGAAGGAAGGAAGGAAGGAATTAGACCTTAAACAGTTCAGTATTCCATAATGAACTCCTGAAGATGAAGATGATGATGAAGCTTTGTTAATTATGATGATGAAGTGCAATAGGCATGAAAAGTTGGGCCCCTATTACTGACCTGGAAAATGAACATAGTCTTTTATATGCAAAAGATCATAATTCTTATGCCTCTAATGTGCTCAAGCAATACCTAACTATACTAACCACCTATGTGCTCTTGCCATCTTTGTGAAAATTATACAACTGCTTAAACATAGATATTTTTTATTTTTACTTTAGAGATATCTGAAGAATATAGTGTGGGAAATGAGGAAGAAACCCTGCAGAGACAAGGATTTGCAGAAGAATTTTTTTGCCAGTGACAGTAATTGGTGAACTGTGTCCCTCCTCTTATCCCAGTCTATGAGGCTTTCCATCAGATTTTCTCTCCCTTTCTGTTGAGGAGAATGAATGAGAGCAGGTTGGTGGGCACCTGACAATGAGCACAAGTTGACTCCATACGCACGCCAAGACAACTGCTTTTTTTTTTGCTATCAGCTACTCACCTAGTGTGGCTGCTTCTGGTCCCCTATTCTTCTGTCTCTGTCCTTGCTGCATCAATAAATTTGTTCTAGACAACTACATTTGTAACTAGCCATTAAAACAAACGTAACCTTTTTTTCCAGATCTGCTGTCTCTGCAGATTCCTCCTGAGTTCTCCATCCAAATTTGTCCCAGAGCAAATAACCTTTGGCTGCTTGAGTCCTTGGCCAGTTAACTACCACTGTTCACAGCTCAGGTTGCAGGCTTCTCTGCAAGAATTCTTACCAAACCCAAACAATTATACTTCAGGTATGTAAGACTTGAAGACACTGTGTTTGACCACATTCCTAGAGCTTAATTGCATCAAAGCACATCATAGTAAGAATTGAGAATAACCATTTTGCCATTCAGTGAGAGATGGAATCATGCTATAGAAAATCTTTAGTAGTTGTTCTGTCTTACTCTCTCTGGTTTGAGAGATCTTTTTCCAGTTTTCACTGAATGGAGACCAGGATTTTGTAAAATTTAACAGTAGGTATAAAATAGGTAACTTGAATGTCAGAAAATAAAGCTGAAGTATAAAAGCCAGCATCAGGTCAGTCTTAATTGCAAAAATAAGCATTGCTTGTGCACGCAGGTATGATTATTGATGACAATCTGAAAAATAAATTTTAAATGGTCTGTTTAAAAAAAAAAAAAATCTGCAAGCAGAAAAATTTTTTGTGTTACTTCAGTGATAACCTGAAATAATGGATAACCAGTGTTTCATGTAAAGAATCTCCACTATTTTCAGTCATTTTGTGAAATGACTGGTATTGCAATCTGACTAGGGTGTGAATTTAGATCTCTGTAATACACAGCTTGCCCCTATGCTCACTACCTATTTCTTATTTTTAATACAAAAATGATAGGCTATTTGTTTCTGATATACCAGGCTAGTTATATGATTTTCAAGCATGTGTTGACATCAGTTACTCATAGCAGTTGTGTCTGTACTATTTAAAATAAATTCACCATCACTCCTAAGAGAAGGCGCAAAATCATCCTTTTATTTATTTTTTTTTTTAGAGAGATTAGAAGATTAAGGATAGGAAACACCTAAACTTCCTCCAGGGTTTTACCGTTAAGTGTGAATGATGCTGGCATCTCCCAGGTAAGACATAAGTGTAAGAACAGATATTTTATTCTCCTTAACAAAACGTTATCCAGTCATATGAGCTATTGCTTTAGAATGTTGGAATAATGTAGTAGCTATGTAGCCTGCCCTCATTTCGTATTTCCTAAACTATAAAATTTGAGGTCTTTAAATACAAATCAAGATTGTGCCCCTCAGAGTGAATTACCCAAAAGAGGTAATTAAGTACTTATCTATCTGAATGTTGGTTTTGCTTGTTTGTTTTTCCTGGGAAAACTGCTGGTTTTGAGCCACTGCCTTTGGAACAGACTTCCTAGCAACTCTTTCAAAGACAAATCAAGAAGTCCATAGCTTAATTATTCAGCCTTCCATCATCTTTACTGCTTCACCAATTTGGTAAGCAGGCATGGAATCAAAGCACTAAGTGGAAAAGTCCACCACAGCTGTGCTGTGTCTACTACTTGCATTTAGATATTTATAAAAGCATGTTTTTAATTCCCTGTTTGCCATATCTCATAATTTACCACCTTCACTAAAGCAAGAAGATAAATACTTTCTGTAAAAAAGCTTTGCATAAACACTTTATTAAAGCACCTGTCTTTGTTGGAAGGGACTTCTGAGACAGGCAGGCTACAGCTGGAGAAGCAACGTTTCCAGAAGACCTTAAGACAGATGATCTCAAATGGATAGCAGGGAAAATAATCCAGCATTCCGTATTGTATCCATGCCCTCCTGCAGCAGTAACTTGTTCATAAATCTGAAAAAGAAGGCTACTGTCTTCCACATGGGGGAAGTGCAAGAAAACTGCTTTTGATAGTTCTGAATTCCCTTTTAGGACAAGGGTTCTTGTGGGTGCAGGGTGGGCTAGCCTGCTCTAATAAATCTGATTACAGAGATTCAAACATGGAAGAATTTTTGTATCTGTGACCTCCATATAACTTCAGAAGTGAACCTTTTATTGCTTTTGTTTGAAGACAGGGTCCTAGTCAAAGGGTTGCTTTGATGTTTTTACTGGGTTACAAATAACATATGAGAGCAGGGGCCATGACAGCTTCAAATCATGTGATTTGCTTTGCAAGCAGCAAACAAAAAAGATCATTTGTAGTAAAGTATACAGTACTGTTTACAGAAATGAAATGAGACTTGAAATTAGAATTGAAATAGATGAAATCCAAGCAGATTTCAGTGACTTCTTGAGAAAAAGTTCTGTTACTTGTTTAGAGGGGAAATGTAATTTCCCAAGTAAATTTGCTCATTAATATTTCAAACTATTAATTTGTTCTGACAAATAGGGAGGTATCTCAAATCATGTTTTCAGAAACCAGTAGTTTTCTTCGATAGAATATTTTCAATGACCTTAATGTCATAACATATTGCTACAGATAGAACATGTATGCATAACTCATAATTAGTAATGCAAGCACCACACTTCGAAGAGTGTTGCTCACATAGAAAGCTGCTTTATATTTTCTTCCCTGACTAGTGTATTTGTTTTTTAAGCAATGAACAGGATGCAAAGTGTTACACTTCTACCCATTTTCAAAAAAAAAAAAGAAAAATTTAGAACAGCGTAGAAGATGATAAAACAAATTCTAAATATAATCAATGTCACATGTTTTTTTGTATGTGTTCAAGTATGTGTTGTTGTGTTGTTGTTTTTTAATATTTTTTACTCTGGAGGTAGTTTACAAAGTGCTGAGATTCTTGAGGGGTTTTGCACAAACTTCAGAGAGGATGAAGCCTTTTGGATATGCTTTCAATATCCAAGAAAATTGAGATACCACAAATTCAAATTTTTATGTTTTAAACATATGTTTTAAACGTGTTTGAGTTAAGATAGAAATGAAATGCTTTTGGCCATGGAAAAGGACCAGAAGATCCCATAGCATGATGAGATCAACATCAACTCTGGTATGGCCATTGGAAGGATTTTCTATTTGGCCATTTTTTTATGAGCTTCTGTTTGTCTGTCCAATCTCTGGACCTGCTTTTTTCAGTATACTTTCATGACCTGTCATATTTAGTATCTGAGATAAAATGGTGTTAACTTGTTGTTGGTTTTTGTTTGTTTGTTTTTAATAGAAAAGACACTAATGCATCTGTGAGTATTCAGTGGTGTTAAAAAATGGTTTTGCTTTGTTTTTGTGCCTAAGTATATGAAAAGCTCTATAATCAACTTAAGAATAAAATTAAATGAATTACCTAAAATGACCATTTCTGTCAAGAGAAATGAAAAGAACACAGCAACTAGAATATGAGAAATATCTCAGCCTTCTAGCATAGATTATGATCGAAACCAATGAAAGAGTCTTAGAATAGCCTAGACCACAGACTAGGGTCACTATATTCATTTAGAGATGTAGTAGTGAAGCTTGAGACACATCCCCGAGTGATTCAAAGTGGGTTGAGGCTTCAGGCACACCAGCTGGAGTTATTCCACTTTGTGTAAGTAAATAATCATAGAATTCATGTTGGTTGTCCTCTCCCTGTCTCAGATACAGTGCTTTTGTCAAGTCTTCTGACTCCCAGAATGTAACCAATTCTTTCAGCAAAGAAGTAGAGCAGTGGAATGTCAGATCTGCCAGTAAAAGAATGAAAACCAAGTTGTCAACCATGTGTTCCCTGAGAGAATGTCAGAGCTCACTGAGCTGTCTGTTATCAGGGTTTAGATTTCATTTTTCTCTTCCATTGCTTCCCTCTTTTTCTGGGAGAAAGAAGCTAGCAAACTTTGCAAATCCTGGCTTTCATGCTGATATGGAATGAAAATTTGAAGAAAAGTTTATAGACCTGTGTCAGACAGGAAAATAATTTACTGTCTCATCTACATTTTTAAAGTTAGATAAGAATACATCAGAGATATTTAATGTTTAGACAACTTTATTTATTTTGGTTCCATATATCTTTGTAGGTAACTGTTTAGCAGGCATTAGCTGCATTGTATGTTCCTGAATTTCCTTCCATGTCAATCAGTGTGGCAGAAAATTAAGGTAACTGAGGCTTTATGAAGATCATGTCTGGTATTTTTCTAACAGAAACAAATTAAAAGCAAATCCAATTAAAACAAAGCCATTAATCTGAAAATGCAGAGTGATTTTTATACTTATATCCTTGCCTGAATTATGAATCTTATATATCCATCATGTTCTTCTGCTTTCTCATTTTAATTGTACCTTTTCCTTGCCTTATGAATTTTTTCTTTTTTCCTTAATAGCTCAGGATATTTTTTTCTCTTTTCCTCAGCAGTCCAGGTTGATTTTCTGGTGGGCAAGTAACTAAAAATAAAATTCTTGGCCAGCAGCCATTTTACTGTTTTTCATTCATTTCAGGATGGCACCAATTTTTGAAACAAGAAGACAACAGCTAAATATATTCCAAGACAAAGTAATCAATCATGATAGTCTGCTAATTCTTGGAGATACCATAAAGGTACCAAACCATGAGAATTCATTCTTGAAGATGACAGGAAGAAATAAGCGTAGACAGTAGAATCCTGTAGGGAGGAATGATGAGGAGACCTGCTGTATGCACCCTTCTGCTAGATGTTATACATCTATGTTTCTGTATTAAACTTTGTTCAGCTAAGTTGCATGGCAAGGAGTTTCTGTTGATGAAGCTGATGATGAATGCATTAACTCCTGCAACACAGCACTGTTAGTGGTTTGACCAAATATCATCATGTAGTCATTTAACATCAAGATGTTATAGTTTTTCTGTTTTCGTAGGTGATTATCCAATAAATATCTCAAAGGATACTGTACAAAAAGTTTTTCTAAAAACGATCAAGTAGTGTGTAGGAAAAGCATGAAGATTTTAGATGTCTTATCCTCATGGTCTTTCTACTTGTACTGATAGTGTGGATTGCACCTTGACCCTGGCAACCCATACAATCAGTACAAGATGGGGGATGTAAGGATTGAGCACAGCCTTGCCTACAGGACTGAGGATGCAGGCAG